TGATTAGAAATGATAGATGTGGAAAGATTGCTAAAGGATAATGTTCATACTCAATTTGCAATAATTGCACATTTCTTTCATCAAGACACATAGCTAATATAATCTCCTAAATTCCAAAATACACATAAAAATAAAGTCCAGTAAATGAAATCAGACAGAATAGGATAAAAATTCTGTTCCTAAGAAGATTCAGAATACACTAGAGCCTAAATCAAAATGCAAACCTAGGTGTCTGTGAATATTTTTCTAAGAGCATCGTTCCCCTTCGATTTTTATTATAAATATTAAAAACATAAACAATTGGAGGAATAGTACAGTAAGTAGCCATCAAGTACTGGGAACCTTTTTTCATTTTTGCTTTGTGTGCTGGATATGCACACATGCTTAAAAAGGCATCTGTATGGAGAGAATACAGCTCTTAATACATACATGATGCATACATACATCATGGCATTTCACCTTAAATATTTCAGCATGCATGCCATACAAAAAGAACATCTCACATATTATTGGATAACATTATCATGTCCAAGAAGATGAATAATCATTCTCTAGTTTCTTCTGATACCAGTTCTAGAGTCAAATTTCTCCACCTGGTTATAACTCTTTACCCTCTTCAAATTGAGAATGCTTCTCCTACCTCCAGGATTTTTTTTCCTGATATACCGATTTTTTTTATGAGGTTGCTGTCTTATAGGATGTCCCACACAGTGCCTTTGTCTGAGTGTTTCCTTTTGGGCTATTCAACTAATTCCTCTATCCCTTAGATCTCGTGTAAATCGAAAGTTAGGCCTCTTAAATATTGAAGATTTTGTCCAAAATACCTCATATAGTTTATTCCAATTTGCTTCCGGTCTTATGCAGTTGTGAATAGCACCCGTTTCACCATCAAGACTGTCCTGGCTTGGGCATCCTATCTGTAAATGAAGTATCACATTAGGAGGCATAATATGTGTTTGGACCCCCATTATGAATGCTGAGTTTAATTCCTTAGCCAGGTGTCCCTCATAGCTTAAAAAGTATTCACTCCACATGGACATTCAAAAGTGACTGGTTTTGATATTAAAGTCATCCCTACTTTCAATAACACATAGAGGTTTTTTGCAACTGGGTATAATCCTGAGTAAATGATTCCTCCTTGAGTTTGGCTTCAGCTAAAGTCATTTCTTTTTGTATGAAAACGGCACCAAACATATATTGTTGTACAACAAAATTATATGATTTCCTATTGTTGAATTCAGAGGGAAAATGGCAGAATGCTGACAATTTAATTTTTCCAGCCAATTGTGTACATTCACCTGTATTTTTTATTTTATTTTATTTTATTTTAAAGATGTGGAGTACAATTCAGGATTAGGTACATAAGTGGTCATTGCACAGACATTCACCTGTATTTTAAAGTGGTAAGCATAGTTTACCTTTTTATTTATTTATTTATTTTTGAGTTGGAGTCTCACTCCGTTGCCCAGACTGGAGTGCAGTGGCTGCTCCCGGCCACCACAGCCTCGACCTGCTGGGCTCCGGTGATCCTTCCGCCTCAGCCTTCCAAGTAGCTGGAACTACAGGCGTGCGCTACCACGCCCGGCTAATTTTTTAATTTATTGTAGAGATGAGGTCCCGCCAAGTTGCCCAGGCGGGCCTCGATCCCACAGGCTCAGGCAATCCACTCCCCTTGGCTCCCAAGGCGCAGGATTACAGGCTGAGCCACCGAGCCCGGCTAGAATGTGAATATTTTTAAGACTTTTGATAGTATTGCCACAATTGCTTTTAATCTATCGAGTTATCCTCCTTCTAGAAGTATATTTGTGACTATTTTGAAAACACCAACATTTAAAAATTATCAAATCAGGATTGTTTCAGAACTTCCTATGGTTTTGGTTTGGCTCACTGAAAATCTGTCGTGAATGTGGGGAAGGACATAAAAGAGTGTTGGACAAACACTACTTGGAAAATTCATCTCCAGCTTTTGATCTGGTTGGACTCCACCCTTCTGAAAAGCTACCTTTGTTAATGGTGTTCATTTTTGTGGGCTAGTTAAGATGTTTATTTGACAGTAATTGTAGAAGTCAGCTCACTGGTTTTTCTGGATGAAAATAAGCTATGACATTTATTAAATATCTGTTTCCTGGAATAAATAGAAGAAAAATATTCTAGTTAGGGGCACCCAATCTTTTTCATGACATGGCACACACAGAAAATAATAATAATAATAATAATAATAATAATAATATCGGGTGGGCCAAAAAAGAGGATACTAATTTAAATATGACGTTTGCTCAAAATATGGCATTAATCAAATGAATGCCAGCATAGCCATGTGACAGGCAGGGCAGTCAAAGAAAATGGCAGGAGCACAGTTGAGCAAATGTCATACTACACACTTCTACCATAATTTATATAAATATGCATATTTTTAGAGACAGAGTCTTGCTCTGTTGCCCAGGCTGAGGTAGAGACTACAGTTCACAGTAGCCTGGACTCCTGGGCTCAAGCGATCCTTCCGCCTCAGCCTCCCCAGTAGCTGGGACTACAGGTGCCTGGGCTGGCATTTGTCCAATGCGCTGGAGTAAATGGAGCCGGCTGATGTAGTCCTGGGCCCCACCTGGCTGCCCTGGGGCTGAGGGATCAAGGTCTCAGCCCTAGTATCCATTTCTGGCACATCCCAGCCAACTCTGCATCCTGGGGAAGCTGGAGGAATATGTTCTCTGCTGTTAGGATGAACATATCTTTCTTTTTTTTAAAAAAAACGATATCTCCCTAGCTCCCCCTCCCCCCACCGATTTCTTGCACCTATTACACAGGGACTTTATAACCGTGATACCTTTTTTTTTTTTTTTTTTAGTGGAGTCTCACTCTGTCGCCCAGACTGGAGTGTAGTGGCCGCTTCCGGCCACCGCAGCCTCGACCTGCTGGGCTCCGGCGATCCTTCCACCTCAACCTTCCAAGTAGCTGGAACTACAGGCGCGCACTACCACGCCCAGCTGATTTTTTGATTTATTGTAGAGACGAGGTCTCACCAAGTTGCCCAGGCGGGTCTTGAACCCGCAGGCTCAGGCAATCCACTCACCTCAGCCTCCCAAAGGCGCGGGATTACAGGCCTGAGCCACCGAGCCCGGCTGACACCTCTTTTTAGTAGAAAGGTAGATGCTTTTCTTAACAATCTTCTGATCTTACTTCTTCAGTGGTCTGCACAAAATATTCTTGAATCCTCTTCCAAAAGTTTTCTGTATTTGATCTTTCTCCCCTGAAGTAATTCATTCAACAATTATTAGCTGAGTTATTTTATGTAACAGGCACTTTGATAAACACCGGGAATAGTGAGATGGTAGACAACTTCTGCCTCCAAGGTGTTCACAGAGGACAGAGGGAAAACAGGAATGACCAGGAGGAGGGAGAGGCACCCGGAGAGTGGTGGATCCAAGGATTTCATGCATGATCCCTGGGCTGGGGGATGGCTTCCCAGAAGCAGTGAAATCTTGGGTGTGCCTGGAAGGAGGAAAGGAAGTTGGCACTCCACCCAGGAAGCAGAATACTGGATGAGGGTCAGAAAGACGTAGTTCTGAGAAATGGGTAAGCTTGTTGCTATACCTGGAGTCCCAAGCCCAGGCAGCTCCCGGAAGAGTGACAGAGGTTGGGTCTGGAAAGAAAAAGAGGCGAGGCTCGGTTTTGAGGAGCTCTGTCGCATGGAACAGTCAGGACTTGCTAAGTATTGGGCCACGGGAACATATTTTCCAGCAGGGGACTGACATCTGCCGACAAACAATGCTATCACAGCGATGTGGAGAATGGGATCGGGGAATAGGTAGGTGCTGGAGTAGGTGAAGAAAGGGGGGCAGTAGAGTGCATACGAATGACTGCAGGAGCACCAGAGAGGTTAGTTTGTGTAATAAGGACCGGTGGCGCTGCCATTTGCAAAAAACGGGAGAAAGGCTTTCCCCCACCTTTCCAGCTCCCCAAACACAACCCACCCTTTAGACCCAAATCAAGGGCCTCCTCCTTTGATCCTTGTCTCCCAGGAGACCTCTCCCTTCCTGGCGTAGTGGTCAGGGATTCAGACGTGGACTGGAGAGTTTGCTCCCCGAGCATGAAGTCATCATTTCTGGTGTGTTGGATCTGCTTCCTGGTCTTGACTGTGGGGCTGCCCTCAGGCCCTCCTCTCATGCCCATCAGACGTCCACCCCAGGGACTGTCTTACAGTAGGTGTTTACTAGGTCCCACGGGCAGTGGGAACCAGAGCTGTGCTTGTGGATGAGACCAGAAATGTAAGTACAAAGTGGAGCTGCTCTGGTCAACGTGGCGGGCAGGGGGAGGGGAGAAGTCCCAGAATTCAGGCCCTGGAGCTTCCCCCTGTTCCAAGTGCCCGCCCTCAAGAATCTTCACTGTATCCCGGGCCTTCCAGACACAATATGAAACCCTTCGGCATGGGGGACTGATCACGGGTTTTGGAGTCAGGTCTGAGTTCAAATCCCTGCTCTGACACTCACTTAACTGCAACAAAGGAGGAAACAGGTCTAAGACTTACTTTCCCCTCTGTAAAACAGAGATGACTCCTTGTGGGTTATGGTGACGATGAAGAAGGAAGATTCATGCAACCATCTCCGGCTCTAGTTAGATGCTCACTAGATCATTGTTGCTATTGGGCGCAACAACAAGGCACTTGCTAGCTGATTATCTGATCCTCGTTGAATTGGCAGTCTAGATACTCATCCTCAAGGGAGGCAAAGCCAGGGTAGGGGTGACGTTATGGATGAGCTCGGGATGATGAGAAGGACCAATCCTGTCTTCAGCTCCATCCACTCGGCAAACCCCCGGCCGCCGGCCTTTTCGTGAGGGCCTATCAATATTTGATGCAGGGTGTCAGTTGCTGTAAACCGAGCGTTCCCCAGCAGCAACGTGAATTAATCATCGGCCGGAGGGGAGAAAACCAAACGCCGTTTCCCCCGAGGCCCAGGTTTCCCCGGCCACGCCGAAGCCGGGACGCCGCCGGGCGGGCTTCGCGCATGGCGGGCCCCGGGCCGCGGCTGCAGCAGGACGGCGAGGGCCAGCCGCGCAAGGTCCGCTTCAAGATCTCCTCGTCCTACAGCGGCCGGGTGCTGAAGCAGGTCTTCGAGGACGGGCAGGAACTGGAGTCGCCCAAGGAGGAGTACCCGCACAGTTTCCTCCAGGAGTCCCTGGAGCCGATGGACGGGGTGTACGGGTCCGGGGAGGCCCCCAAGCCCCCGCCGTGCTCCCCCAGGCTGACCGCTCAGAGGATCAGCGTGTTTCGGGAGGGCAACGCCTACACGCTGGCGGGCAGCCGGCCTCCGTTCCACGATCACAAGGCCAACGACCGCAAGGTTGGTGCTGCGTGTGGCCTGTGGGCCTTAGGGGGCAGGGCTCCCTGCCGCGTGCTTCGGGTCTGTGCCCTGCCCATGCTGCGGTGCCCGCCAGAGCTGTAGGTGCGCCACACGGGAAGCCCCGCCAGGATATTTCTGGGACAAAAATGACGGGCTGCTGGCCACACAGGCCGTGAGCATGTGTAGTGTTCAGAGTCCCTCCGTTGCACCGTGATGGGTTTCCGCGGGATGCAAATGAAATAGAGGTGAGGTGGTTTTCAGGTTGCCAGTCTGCAGTTTTAGCAAACGAGGCAGGCCCCGCCGGGTGGTTCGCGCCTGTAATCCCAGCACTTTGGGAGGCGGAGGCAAGAGGATTCCTGAGTCCGGAGGTTTGACACCAGCCTGGGCAACTTGGCCAGACCTCGTCTCTACAATAAATCAAAAATTAGCCAGGCGTGCCCCTGTGATTCCAGCTACTTGGAATGCTTGGGACAGAAGGAGGGCCTGAGCCCGGCAGGTAGAGGCTGTGGTGGCTGTGAGCATGCCATTGCTCTCCACTTCTCCCGGGTGACAGAACTGAGACTCCGATTCAAACAAGAAAGAAAGAAAGAAAATGCAGCAGTGGGTCGTTTTGTTTCCTTAAAAAGCTGAGCGTTTGAAGGTGCTCGCTTCACTCACAGTCAATTATTCAGCCTGCGGTTATCCATGTCTTGTCTTTGACCCCAGCGTCTTCCCACTGCCTGCTTTTTAAAAATGCTTGTCTATTTATTTATTTATTTTGCCTTCCTATTACTCATTAGCATGAACTCTGGGTAGTTGGAGTCGTGGGGAAGAGACGGTGAGACGCAAATCAGCCAGAGGAGATGTTACATGGGCAAGAAGTTGGAGCTAATAGTTCACCTGAAGCATGTGTTTAATCTGTGCATTTCAATTACTTCCCCAGCATCACAGATAATCAAAAGCCCATCCATGATTTTCTTTAAAGCTAAAAGAACCTGGGAAATATCTCTGATTTCCAAAATTCATAGGAGACGTGTAAATGCTTTCTGCCAGTGGGACCATCAATGCCTTTTTAAAAAAGATTAAATGCAATTATATATTGTAGCCATGTTATTAATGAACGGCATACCAGGATGCATTCTCATCTTTAAAGGCTGAAATTCAGATAATTACTCTCTAATTATTTTTATTGTTATTTTCCCAAGGAAAGAGATAATACACCTATTGCAGATGAATGTATTATTGGCTTTGATGACATTGGTAAAAGTATAATTACAAGCATGTCCACAATTACCAAAGATAATACCAGGTTTCTTTTTTATACTAAAGTAGCCTGGAATGAATAACCTCTTATGTGAATGGAGTGACTTGTGCATTACACAGTGCTATCACGTGCTGTCTCTATCTCTCTCTCCCACATTTGGTCTCTACAATAACCTTGGGGAGAAAGACAAAGGATGGTCATTCTTTTCTTGGCAGGTGAGGAACACTGAGTGCCAAGTCTTGAAGGGACCCACACGATATTGCAGGCCATTGGGTACAGAGTCAGACTAAGATTCAGATCTTCTGATTCCCCGACTTTTTGCTTTTTTAGAGAACAAAGTTATCACGTCATCATAATGATGATACCTACCGTTTATTGAGTGCTAATTAGGTCGTAGGTCCTTGGCTATGTTTTGTACTTACAGTATTTCTTTTTATTTATACCTTATTTGTAGATTTAGAGTCCACAAAGTCAGAGTTCATGCAAACCCCATACAAGGTCATGGTAGGTAATTTTGGATTGCTTGATCTTTGTAAATCGTGTGCCCAAATTGGCATTTATGTAAATGTACGATTTGCCATGGCTGTGTAAGTCTAGGTGAATGAGTCTTCGCAGCAGCGTGGCTCAGGCAGCTGTGTTGGAGGTTTCGGTCTTGCTTGGTCCCTTTGTTCTGGTTCTCATTGTTGCCTGATCAAGTGCCACATCACAGTCTTAGCTGGCCTCTGACATGAGAGTGGCCAGAATGGAGTCATGTGGCTCCACCCACTGAAACGGTGTGCCAACACAGCATCTATAAAAACAAGGAAGTAAGCCGGGCTCGGTGGCTCAGCCTGTAATCCCGCGCCTTTGGGAGGCTGAGGGGAGTGGATTGCCTGAGCCCGCGGGTTCGAGACCCGCCTGGGCAGCGAGACCTCATCTCTACGATAAGTCAAAAAATTAGCCGGGCTTGGTAGCACGCGCCTGTAATTCCGGCTACTCGGAAGGCTGAGGCGGAAGGATCGCCGGAGCCCAGCGGGTCGAGGCCGCGGTGGCCGGGAGCGGCCACTGCACTCCAGTCTGGGCGACAGAGTGAGACTCCAACTCAAAATAAAAAAACAAAAAAACAAGAAAGTGCGATTTCTCAGCACTGCCTCCAGTTGTAAAATAACTTCTAGTAAAGACTGGCCACGAGATTGTCTTTAAACAACATGGTCACAGCGGTATTATTCACATTGCCCGAAGGTGGAAACAATAAGCCCCAATGTTCATCCACTGGCAACGGCTAAACAATATTGTGTGGTACTTTCACACAATAGAATATTATTCAGCCTTATAAAGGAAGGACATTTTAACACATGCTACAACATGGATGAATCTTGAAGATGTTATAAGTTATACGTTATCACAAATAGATAATCACTACATGATTCCACTTATATGAGGTACCTAGAATAGTTGAATTCACAGAGACAGAAAGCAGAATGGTGGGTGCCGAGGTCTGAGGGAAGGGGAGAAAAATCATTGATTGTTTAATGGATGCAGCTTCAGTTTGGGAAGAAGAAAAAGTCCTGGAGATAGATGGTGGTGATGGCTATACACCAGTGTGAATATACTTCATGCCACTGAACTGTGCATTTAGAAGTGGTTAAAATAATATATTTCCTGTTAGGTATATTTTACCACAATAATAATAACAATAACAATAATAATAATAATTTTAAAGGGAACAATGTGAGTCACACTGAACAATTCTATTCGCTTACTGTGTAAGCTTGAGCAAACTACTTAACCTCACTGATGTCAACATCATCATTGATAATAGGAGGGCAATAAAAATACCTACTTAAGAGAGTTGCTGTGTTGATTAAAAATGATCCTGCATGAGAAGCTCTCAGCATTGTGTCTGGCATGTGGCATGTCTTCAGCAAATGTTACTCACCATTGTGATAATGAGCAGGTTCGCATCAAAGGCATGTTGACTCTTTTAATTTTAGGTGATGGGTAGAGGAAGTGGCTATAAATAATCAAAATATTTTAAGGAATTAAAACAAGTTTATAAGGTTCATAAAAATGGAAGGGAGGTAGCAGTTACTGAACACCTACTTTATTCATAATTACTATATACAATAATTTCATCTTCACAGTATTTCTATGATGAAGAGTTTTACACATTGGAAAAACAGAAGTTCATAGAGGTTCAATAGCCTGCAAATCTTACACAAGTTGTCAAATAACGTTAGAATAGAGTTTGAACTCAAGTCTGTCTGCCACCAAAGCCCACTGAATTTCTAGTACCCAGTAAGGCGCTACTGCATCTAAAAACAGAGCAGAGAAAAGGTTGAAAAGTGCCTCAGTAGCAATCTTTAGGCATGTTGCCACAGACACCAGAGGATGGATGAATGCTCAATCACATAGGTTGCCATTCTGGGCATTGTGAAAGGAAATGAAAAATTCTTGGCTTCCTCCTGGCCCTCTATAATGCAAGAGGGGATGTTCCTCACCAACAGCTGATGTAACCAGATAGTGTGAACTTTAGTTACACCCAGATAGTCTCCTTAGACACAAGGATGATTTTGGCTGTCAGGGTGACTCACACTTAAACACACCATAAGGTGATTTGGGACCCTTTATCTCTAGGGTACATTAAAAAATAAATTTGCTATCATGGGTGTCTCAGACATTTCCCAACTTAGAGATAGAGGGTTGGAGCAGGTGATCTCAGATTCTCCTAGCATATTGAGAGTTTTGTCTTGGGGGAAAAACAAAAAACAAACCCACACAAAAAACAACTCTAGATATGAAAACCTCCCTAGTAACTGAACCTTATTGGTTAATACTGGAAGTAGAAATGGAACCTTCCAAAAGTACCACCATCCTTATCTTCTGATGTTCAGAAACTGATAGTCCAGAGTGTGAAATAGGAATCCAGCCTGCATAAAACAATAGGAAATGGAAGCTGCTACATGATCCCTTGAAGAGAGGGAGAGAAAGCAAGGCCAGGTAGGAAGCTTGTGGTTTGACAGATAATGATTGAAAACTCCATGGGTGTTTAAAGAAAGGGAACCTAAATATTAAAGTCATGCTCAAACTGGGTTTTGACTGAAGACAAAAGAGCTTTAAATGCAAAACTACTTAACTGTAACATCTTAACTTGTCTTATACAGTTCTATACACAGAGTATTTCATGCTGAGGAGTTTGGCTGTATAGTGTGACTGTGCACATACTACGGAAGAACAGCTTTCAATATTCACAGTAATGGAAGGCTGAGGTGGAAGGATCGCCTGAGACCAGCAGGTCAAAGCTGCGGTGGCCGTGCGTTTGCCCCTGCACTCCAGCATGGGCAACAGAGTGAGACTTCGACTCAAAAAAAACAAACAAAAAAAATCACAGTAACGATGCCCACCATTTGCATATTATTTCCAGCCTTAGCAAATCCTGTTGTATATCTTTTTCATAGCGTCTCCCACTCCCTTAAGTTGATATAATGAGCCTCAGGAATGAAAGTAAAGAGTTGTAACTACAGGAACATTGCCTGATTGGCACAGAAGCCAGAAGAGTGTTGGAGCAGGGTCCTGGGACTGTGGTCCTAAGTATGAACTCTTACATTACTGTTTTGGGGGGTGTTAGAGGCTCCCTGAAGAAAGGCTGTATTAACAGGAGGGCAATCGACAGTCTCAGGACAGCACCTGTGTACCACCCATCATGGAAGCATTTCCATATTTGAATAATTAGCTTGTCTGCTGCAGTGCCTATCAGTAGATGTCAGCCTATTTGCAGACGAGCAAACAGGTTTTGAGAGGCTACATGGCTCTCCTGTGACTCACACTAGATTGATCGTAGAATTGGAATCCAGTGCTGGGTAGAAATATATGTTCTTGTTCAAGTAATCCCTGAACACTTACTTCCCACGGTTCTCTACTGCATTGTAGTATGCCCAGATTTATTCCTGAGCAAATGATTAAGCAACACATGATAAATCCATACAAGGAAACATAAGCTATGAATAATGATGCTTTAGAAGTTTATTTACTGGACGGGTGCAGTGGCTCATGCCCATAATCCCAGCATTTTAGGAGGCCAAGATGAGAAGATTGCCTGAGCCATGGATTAGAGACCAGCCTGGGCAACTTGGCGAGACCTCATCCCTACAATAAATCAAAAAATTAGCTGAGTGTAGCGGCGTGCACCTGTAGTTCCAGCTACCTGGAAGGCTGAGACGGAAGGATTGCCTGAACCCAGCAGGTCGAGGCTGTGGTGGCTGTGAGTGTGCCACTGCACTCCAGCCTGGGTGACAGAGTAAGACTCTGACTCAAAAAAAAAAAAAGAAAGAAAAGAAAGATGTCTATTTACTGACATAAAAAAGATTTTTAATTTCCGGGAGGTGGGGCGGGGGAGGCACATAACATCAATATGGGTTCCTGATCTCAATCCAGGCAAAGTGGGGACCAAAGGGAGGCCCAAACTTTACCTGTATGATGCCCACTTGTATACCTAATCCTGAATTGTACCTCACATCTTTAAAATAAAATAAATTGAAAGTAAAAAAAAGATTTGGGGGGGTGGATTGCTTGTGAATAGTGCAGGGTAGGGGGCAAGAATATGGGCTTTTGTCTGACAGTCTTTGGTTTCATTTCCAGCCATAGTCTCTGGGTAACTCTGTCACTTAGGCAAGGTGCTTAACCCTACTGAGATTCAGTCTCCTCACCTGTGAAATGTGAAAATTCTACCTCATAGGGGTGTTTGGCGGGAAGTGAGGTAATGCTGGTAAAATGCTTAGGGTGACACCTGGCAAAAAGAAATGGTGCTCAATAAATGGTATCTGCTGGTATTATTATTAGAAAAAACTTTGGAGAGATATTTATATAAAGCAACAGACAAGAGTGTTCCTCTGTACTTACTCAGCCCTCTGTGCTCCGCCCTGCTTTGGCTGCTGGGGTTTGCGGTAGGAATGGAAGCTCTAGCCTCCATTCTGACACTTTGAGGATTTCAGCTTTGATTGGTTACCATCAACCAACCAGAGGAAGAAGGAAGCTGTTTTGGTTTTTTTTTTCCATCAGAGTCTCACTCTGTTGTCCGGGCTGGAGTGTGGTAGCACGCTCATGGCTGCCGCAGCCTTGACCTGCTGGGCTCCGGCGACCCTTCCACCTCAGCCTTCCAAGTAGCCGGAACTATAGGCATGACACCATCACACCTGGCTAATTTTTCTTGATTTCTTATGGAGATGAGGTCTTGCCAAGTTTCCCGGGCTGATCCCAGGCAATCCTCTCACCTCGGCCTCCCAAAGTGCTAGGATTATAGGAGTGAGCCACCACACCCAGCTGGAAGCTGGTTTTCACAGCTTTCAGAGAGGAAGCGAGCCAGCGAATGAACCATGTGTAGCTCTGAGGTCTGGGGGGATCATAAGTGTTGGGAGCAGATGGTCCTCCTGTCCCCTGGGATATGGGGCACGTTCTGCAGCCCTTTGTGTGGTGACTGGTGGCAAAGTTCCACACTCATTCTCCATGTCTCCAGCCCCCGCCTATTATAGATTTTGGGAAGATAATCATCTACACGAATAACCTGAAAATCATTCGAACCCCAATGGACAAGAGAGACTTCATGAGAAAAATCCTCCAGAAGGAAGAGGAAGTCGAGGAAGAGTCTCTGATGGGCAAAGAAGATGGCTTTGGAGACAGGGACCAGGACGGGCCTTTGCTGGAGGCGGAAGGCACGCTCGCCCAGCGCCAGTACACACAGGTGCGTGAGAGCTCGGCTGCTGACTGGGACCGGCCCTGTGCCAGGGTCTCCCGACGGCTCTGATTGTGCTCTAGAAGTAAGGACTTCTGAATAGGAATACTTAGCATATCTACATTTAAAGATGTGAAGGAATTTTAACATTTATTTTATTCTAATGGTAAATTGTTAGCAATAGCAGTCACAGGTCTGTATTCCAAATACTCTTAGTTTTTCATTGTTTTGGCTGACCTCTTTTCCGAGAGATTAAGTGTTGACTGTTTTTACTGTGCGATGTGTCATTTATTTATTATTTATTTATTTTTGTTGTCAGAGTCTCACTCTGTTGCCCAGGTTGGAGGACAGTGGCACAATCATAACTCATTGCAGTCTCCAACTCCTGGGCTCAAGCAATCCTTCCACCTCAGGCTCCTGAGTATCTGGGACTATAGGTGCACCCCAATATGCTCAGCTTTTTTTTTCTTATAGCGACACGTTTTTCGCTATGTTGCCTAGGCTGGTCTCGAACTCCTGGGCTCCAGCAGTCCTCCTGCCTCGGCATCCCAGAGTGCTCGGATGGCACAGGCATGAACCACCACACCCGGCCTGCGATGTTTCTTATGAACAGCTGGTTCTAGAGGTGGGAAGAAATTCCGCTCTCTCTTTTTCTTAAGGGTTCACTTACTTTTCTACTACTGGTGTTTTCCTCGATCCTTAGTCTCCTTGAAGACATCATGGAAAGTCAAGAGTCCATTTTGCAGATTAGTTTAGTTAAAACTAAGTGATATCACTTGTAAACCCACTAGACCAGGAACAAGAAACTGCAATATGCGATATACTGAAAGCTAACAAATGAGCTGGATGCAACTGTCAGCAACACTGGGTGTCATGCTCGCTCCATGGTCCCTTGGGTTCCACATTTGTCTAATGACTGCCTGATATGATGTGAGTGTCACTGTCAAACAGTTTATTAAAAATGAGTATAACATTTGTTTAAAAAATATTAATAAGGTTTAATTTCTTGCCTACTTTTAGATGCAAGTAAATATAAATAGTTTAATGCCCCCCCCCACAGCCCTTGAAGGTGTGCAGCCCCACCTTGGAAACCATTGCTCAGGTATGCCCAGACAAGGGGAAGAATGCTGATATTCATTCATTCACAGCGTGAGACTGGGGTGGGGGGAGCAATTTTGATGAATTTAAGCTGAGAGAGTAAAATCTGGGTAGCTGGAGAAATGTACTTTCTCTCTCTTAGATTCCATCTCTTGAGACTGGACACTTTTGGGGGGTTTCACGCCTGTCTCCTGGATTTGGGCCAGGATCTTCCCGGAACTGAAGTGACGTCCCCTCTCTGGATGGGGTTAGATGATGAGAACAAGAAGGTCGTCCTGGGCTTTGAGTGATGGCCTTAGCCAAGAGGCGCCCACGATCCCCTCTGTCCCACCAGTCTCCCCCCACAAGGCTACCTACTCCCCACGAGTTCTCTGGAATCCACCTGTTCCTGTCTGTCTTCCCCTCTCTCCCTCTCCTCTACTAGAACCCAGGAGCCTGGACTCTAGCGAAAGCTCTGGTCCCTGTCCAACCTGATCTCACACTCAGTGAGATGTCTGTAATGCAAATCTGGTCAGGCCACCCTCTTTGTTACTCCCCATCCCCACCCCCACCCCCACCCCAGACTTTCAGTGTCCTTCCATTACTTGGGAGAAAGCCAGAACTCCTTACTTGTTCTAGAAAGCTGTGTGCAGCCTGACCATTGCTGGACTCTCCAGCCTTTTCTCCTGCACATCGCTCCTTATGCTCTGTGCATCCTTCCATCACCATCCCTCATAGCTTCTTTGCTCTTTCCTTCCAGAGGCCCATCCCTCTCCTGGAATGTTCCCCAGGCTCCCCACCACCTTGCCTTCAGCACCTGAGATCTCTGTGGAAGCTTCACTTTCAGAAGGACAAAGATACTGTCCCCTAGACTGGACTCATCAGGGCACCTCTCACTCCTTCTCACAGTTGCAGTCTTACTTCTATTTGTGTGATTATTTGCTTAGTGTTTGCTCTTACTCACTAGGATTTGATCTCCATGAGGGCAGGGGCACGTTTGTGTTGGGTTCAACATTGTAGTTATCAGTATAAAAAACACAGAGTGGGGCACATAATAGGTGCTCAGTAAATATCAGTTAAATGCTTGTGGAAAGAATATTGGGATTGGGGGCAAAGTGTCAGTTGGTAAAAAGTCTTTGGCCACTGCCTTCTTGTCTTCTGCATAAAACTATTAAAACCTAAAACCCGATGTGGTGGCTCACACTTGTAATTCTAGCCCTTTTAAGGCTGAAGTGGGAGGATCGCTTGAGGCCAGGAGTTCAAGACCAGCCTGGGCAACATAGCAAGGCTCTGTCTCTATGAAGGACAAAAAAGAGAGAGAGAAAACCTGGCCTGGCGGGGAGCAGACTGCTGGACATGGTGATCTGATCACTTTTGAATTCTTTATTTCTCATACTATATTGAAAGTGTAGAAGCATGCATTTTCAGCAGAGGGCCAGAAATGGTAAAATCCAGGTCGTGCTGCAGACCTGAATGAAAAAGCAAGAGTAGGTCTGATAGGACAATGACCCTGAGATCTGCTTGGGAGATCTGGGTTTCTTAGCTTCAGTGATGTCAATCAGGGCAGAGGTGTGCTGCAAAAGTGTGCTGTGAAAAGTTATACATCACTTGCCTGTCCTTCAAACTCTGTTTTAAGTTGCTATTTGCCCAATCCCTCAGCCATAAATGCCTGGACAAGTTTTATTCTAAAAGAGAGGGTCAAAGAGCACCAAGGAGCCCCTCCTGACAGAGACACTTTGTTCTGTTACACGGAACAACAGCAGTGAGGACCTGGTGGCAGAGCAGGGCAGGGCTGAACGCCAAGTGGTCTCCAGCCTGTGTATCAATGGTCAAAGAGGAGAGGAAGAACCTACCTGAGCTCCAGCAAAAGGGGAAAATGTGGTTTCGTGCTCAGTGGATTCGAGGTCATAGATCATCTGGGCTTCTTTATGCTTTATGTGATCTCACCCTGGAGACAAGAGTTGTCATCATCGTCACCATCACCATCGTCATAGCCGCCATTTATCGAGGGGCTTTCCATGACATAGTCCACGTAATTCTCACAAGAGCTCTCTGTGAGGTAGGTTTTATTAAGTCTCATCCTGCAGTCAGGGAAACTGAGGCTCAGAGAGGCTAAGTAACTTGCCAGGGGTCACTAGGGTCACTGGTTGAGTCTCGGTGCAATCTTACAATTGGAACTGCACACTGTGCAGACTCTAGCTGGTGCTGGTTCCCGTCTATAGGGTTGCATGAACCATGGCGTATGTGGTTAGAGGTCAGGCCCCATCCGTGGTCATGGAGCTACATAAGAGGTGGATGGGGGCTCTGTTGGGCTCTAGAACCTAAGATATGCCAAGTATCTGTTCTTTATCCTCTAAATATTTTCCAAGAAGAATTTTTAAAATATAGAGAGCGGAAGGCATATATTTCACATGCCTGATGTAGAGGAGTGCTCATTAAATACTTGCTGAATTAACTGAATGATTAAAAAGAACATGTTGAGGGTAAGTGGCCGGGGAAAGATGTCCCAGGATGAGAATGGAGACTGTGGCAAGTCGTCAGTAATGCACACTGGAATCCCATGACATTGGATGGAACATGGTGGAAGACTTGTTCTCTGCAGCAGTCTTCCCCAGTCATTTCACTGATCTTTCGGTATCTGTCCTGGCATTTTATGCAAATGATTTTTGGATCTCATGTACAGCATTATGGTAGGACTTGACTGTACTTTCTTTGGCAACATTGACTTACTTCATTAAAATCTCACTGGGATCAAGTAGAAAATATAAAAGATAATGGATTTGGCAGGAAAATGAACTGTGGCAATTTGCTTTAAGAATGTCTCAGCAGAAATATTTATTTTGAATACTTTAAGGGAAGAAAACAGATTTATCCATTGTTAATACATTAAAATATGGCAGCAATCTGTGAAACAGTAACAAAAGGGTTCTTAGACGCTGTGTGAGTTTTTGTCAGCGGGGTAATCACATTTAGGTACTCCATTTCCTAAATCGAATATAAATAAAAGTCAGTATCTTCTTAGGCACTCTGCAGCACGATGGAGCTATTTTCAAAATGTAGGCTTCCTTTTTTTCTATGCTCAGTCTATAAAGGAAAGCTGAGTTCGCAGGGTGGAGCTACTCCATGGCCCCCAGCTGCCTTGCTGGCCCCTAGAACTTAAGAGCAAAAACTGTTCTCCAGAGATCCGTGTTTCACTTGTTGACTCGTTCAGCACAAATATTGTGCCAGGCACCAGGCTAGACATTTAGGAGGCAATGGTGACAAGGTACGAGCCCAGAAAGCTTCCTGCCCAGGCATTAGGAGCTGTCAGTAGAGAAAAGCCCTGCCCTGCGGGGCAGCTCTGGAGGTGTGGGGTACACTCCTGACCCAGAAAAGTGAGGAGGCAAGGCTTCCTAGAGGAAGAGCAGCTAAACTGACTGAGAATAAGCAGGACTTGGCTGGCTTGGGAGTGGAAAAGGGTCTGGAGACAAACACAGAGAGGCCCAAGGACAAGAACCTGACAAAAGAAGTGACAAAAAATTGAAGTCAGTTGAGGAAATGGGGCCTTATCCTGAGGTTTTATCTGGAGGACAAGGGTTTACTAAAAGGTTTCCTGAGTGCTCTCTGTGTGGCATCACCACTGTGGGTACCTTCCTGAGATTAGTCTCCATGGAGAAGACATCCCACAGGGGTAGAGGCAGGGGACCACACTGAATTCATGCCAGAGCTGGTGGCCTCTGGGCTAGGACTGTGATTGTGGGGTGAAGAAGCGTGATGGATTTAAGATATTTAGAAGGTGAAATGAATTGGACTTGTCACTGGGTTCCCCAGGTTTCTGTCTGGTATCTTCCCTTATTTCTTGGAAGGTTCACGGTTTATGAGAAGTATGAATATTGCCAATTTTCTTGGCCTGTCTTAGAAGAGCAAGACAATAGCCAAGGGACACTTTCTGGGGAGTGGGAGTCAAGGATTGGAGACTTGTTGGCAAGGCTTAGACGTGAACTAACTTTTGTGGG